AGCTGCGGGGGGACGCGGCAAAAACTGACAGGGGTGGAAATAACCACCTGAAAATTCCGATTTGGGTTTTGCATCCCAGCTGGAGGGATGGCGGGGGGACGAGGACACCCTTGCCCCGCGCCCGCTACCTGTACAGCTCCATGTCCAGCTTGTTGCCCAGCAGGAGCACGGGCCGGCGGCGCGGGCAGCTCCCGGCGCGCAGGGTGAGGACCTCCAGGTACCGCTGGCAGCCCTCGAAGCTCTTCCTGTCATCGATGCTGTAGACGACAAGGAAGGCGCTGGCCCAGCGCAGGTAGCGCTCGCAGTTCCCAGGGCCATCCTGGGGGCAAAAGCAAGTGGATGAGCCCATCTCCGGGTCGCGCCGGTTGGCACCCGCGGCATCCCGGTGTCTCACCTGGTCGGCGGTGTCCATCACCTTCAGCAGCACGGGCTGCTGGTCCACCAGTTCCTCTGAGGCGTAGGTGTCCTCTGCAAGGAGAGGAGTGGTGGTGGGAATGGGCTGGAGTATCCCGTCTTCCCCAAAGCCAAGAACAGCCCTGGGTGCTTGGAGCACCACGAAAAAAGCCCATTCCCTAGTGAGGATCCTCCGCCAGTGCCTCCCGCCTCACTCCTTCCCAGCGTTATTTTGGGGGTGATGCTGCGGGAAGGCCGGCTGGGGGCGGCTGGTTTTCCCTCCCTGCGTGCCGCAAGCGTGGGCTCCCATGGGAGAAGGAGGGAGGGGAAGGAGCCCGGCGCGGCCACCGCTGCGCCCAGGGCTCAGCCCTTATCTACGGACCGCGACCTGGTGAGATAAAGCGAGCCGGGGGCTGGACTCCGCGGCTGCTTCCCAATAAATCAGGGGAAAGGAGCACCCCTTTCTTCGGGAAGGAGGGCAGCAGGGAGAACCACTCAGCCATTCCCCCGGGGAGGAAGATGCCGTGTCCCAGCCGGGTCCTAACGGATGCGTTTCGGAAAGGTTTTGACGTGGGAAGATGAAACCACATTCCCAAAAAAGATGGGAGAAGGAAAGGATTTATTCTTCTTTCCTAAGAGTCGCTGAGTTATTAGGGGTTGGAGTCGGTTCCTGGACAAGGTCCATATCTCCCTAACGGCCCCAATAAATCATTTATGGCTCTTCCCCACGCCCTGGAGCCCAGCCTAGGAAAATAGGGATTAATTACTCAAACGAAGGGAAAAAAAAATCA